TAGCCCCTCTGGACTGTGTGGCAAGTTCTGTGATCCTGAAAGATCGCACAGAGGCTAGGGACAAGAAGTAGGAGCATGTGATACAAAGTCCTGTGCCAGATTAAGAACAGCAAGTGACAGATGGCCCTTCTGACCAAATGTAACAAAAGAAAGTCGGTTCGGCCATTTAAATGACAGGAGCATGAGGACAATGTCTGCATCTTTCTCCCAAGGACTTCATGCAAGGTCTTTGCCATCATCCATCCAAGATGGGACTGGGTTTGACACAGATCAAGTCCAGCTGCCCAAGTGGCGTTCATTCCCTTTATTCCCTTTTCAAAGGCCAGTCTTTGCTCAATGAGTCTATAATCCAAGGCAGCTGACAAGATCACCCAAACTCCAGCTGACAGTTCAGCAGACAGGGCCTACATCTGCTTGTCTAATTGAGACATTAAATGAAAGAAGAATAAGTAAATATCAACACCACTAAGAAACAACCTTTGAAACAAACCACTACAAAAATGAGATGCACTCTTTAAAAGGTTGAGACTCTACCTTCACTCACTAGTGCTACGCCTGGCCCATTGTTTTCTCTGCATTATTTGAGGCCAACAAGACAGGTTCATAACAAGATGCCAGTCCTTTTCTATTCTAACAAGTATGCAGTCCATCTGTCTCCAATCAATAACAGAACACGTGGAGATGGAGCCATGAGATATTTTTAAACACTTCCCTAATTAATTCATTCTAAGGACTTGGCTCTTGGAGCAGCACTGCGGGGTGAGGGATAGGGAGAGAGAGGGGAGAGCAATCTCACAATCCTGGTAAATAAAGAGATTTGCTATAATCTGGATTCCAAACCCTTTCTATGGAGCAGCGCCCACCCCCACCTCCAGCAAGCTGTTTAGGGCAGAGAAGTGAAGCCTGTAAGCAAGGCTCAGTCTGGCATTTGTTGAATGTATTTTTCCAACTGTTAAAGACAAGTTCTTAAAATGCAAACCAAACTAAGATTTTAATCTTGAAAATAATGCTTCTGTCTACTCAGGATAAAGGGTTTTAAGTTATCTGTATCTCATTAGATTAAAATAATGATAGCAGGTGATAGAAATAAAGGAGTTTCAGCTAATTCCAAGAGGCAAGGCAATCCAGTGGGGAAAACAATTCAATATAGAAAACAATTTAGCTTGCCTTTCAAAGGAGGAAACTCAGACATCTGAGTGTCCTGGGATACAGCTACAGAGGAAATCGACCTGTGTTGAGCTTCGAACTGTGACGAAGCCACGCATTTCTGGAGCCGAACGGTTTATGGCACACTGACCCCAAAATCTCACACTTCGCTGCTGAGTATTACTTGTTTCTGTGACCAGAACCTCATCTTGGAAGGACTCTGCCAGGTCTGACACATCACTAAGTCCCTTAAGTACCGAAGCCATAGGAGAGGATGCCTCAACCTTTGGCACAAAAGGGAAACAAAGTGACACTTGAGTCTGATACATAGACCTGCCTTTTGGTTTTTAATAAGCTGGTGTTTCCACTTCACAAGTCTTATTTGGATTTAGAAATTATTTCTTGAGAATTAAGCTTTCAACTGCTCATAAGAGACTGCCTTAGTAAACATAAAATGGCTTTATCAAAGCTCTACTCATATCCATTTTACCCAATGAGGACAATTTCTCTATTCTTCAAAATGAGAATTGAAATTCCAGTGAAGCCTGAGGCATGCAATATGCAAATCCCTCTAGACCCCAACTCCCCTGCCCTCCACTCATCCCACAATAAACACACTCTGAGAGCTCTTCCTCCTGCTCCATTCCCTTGGGAAAAGAGTAAGGCAATTGCTATGTTTGGCTTCTTGTGTTGGGAACCATAAATTCAGGGGTTCTCCCTTGGCAGGGCTTTTTGCTGTCAGCAGTCTTGTCTCAGTTGCTCTCTGAGTCAGATTGAAATCAAGCCCTCCTGATTGGTGCAGCCCTGACCCCTTGGCTCCTGGGAGCTGATCAGAAGATAGATTGCCTGGACTCTCTGATATATATGGCAACCTAGCCATCTCTAGCTCCAAAGAACACATTTCTAAAATGCTGGCTCTTCAGCATCTGGCCAGTCCACCATGACCCAGTCAATAACAGATACTAGATTGTCTGTCACCAGCGACTTATAATCTCTTTCCAATTTGGGTCAGGAACCTAAAAGCCATCTCAGTAATTCCAGCTATGCCAGGGACTCAGGAGGAAAAAATAAATAAAAGATGCTCAACTGTCAAGTTAGACCTTTCTGTATAGGAAAGCGCTTTGCGGAACCTGGGAGCTATAAAAATCACTGTTGATTTTTACAGAAGCCATGTTGATAATCCCAATTCAACACAATCAGAAACTTCAGCTAAGCAGACAACAGTGAATATGCCCTATAAAGGGAAAGAACAAATGCATAAACTACAGAAAGTACCCTAAAAGGTGACTTGCAAGGTGCATATGCAAAGATTTGAGAGAAAGCTGGCATCCTCATTGACAACTGATATTTCCAGACGAGACCCCAAAACTCTGCCAAGTCCTGGAATCTTCCTGGGAAAATGGCATTATATTCTATGCAGTTTCATTCTTCAAGTCTATTTTCACTGGCTTGCTTATTTCATCAAGTTATTGAAAGAATCAGATGCAATGATACACACAAATAAGCTTTGAAACAAGCACTAAACAAACATGTCTCTGTTGCTTCTAATAATTCTTTGGAAAGTAGTAATTAGTATATGCTATTAATGACATCTTGATCACCAAATAAACGTTAACCACAGGGATCAGTTTGCCATGCCATCCCACTCCCCAAGGATTCTAAAGCAGAGTTGAATTGAACATATATAAACTGAAAGCATGTAATTATATTGCTATTTCTGCACCCTTCTAAGCAACATTCATTTCAAGGAACCAGCTTTAATATTGTTAGAAGACAAAGGCTAACAAAGGAGACCAGCCTGTGGATTCTTCCTGAGTTTCCCTTTACAAGGTACATTACCCAAAGATAACAGAAGGGGCAAAAGAACCTCACCAACACACAAGAAAATTTTAGTAATAAAGTCCTCCACTGGAACTAGCCTTCTGTCATGCTCCAAGACTGTTGGTTTCCCTTTACTTCCACCACGGAGCCTAGCAGGTGTATTCTATCCAAAAAGACTCAGTAAGCACTTCTGGAAGAAAAGAAGGACTTTGAGAATGTCTCTGCCCATCAGTGACTGCTCTTAAATAATCACACAACTTTCTATATTTGTTTCCCAGGTTTTTTTTTTTCAGAAAAAAAATTCAATTCTTTCATCTCAAGTAGAAGTTCCTTAGACCATCATTTCTTAACCATGCCCAAAGTACCAGGATGGCATTAACTGAACCAGTCATTCTTGAACACTGAAAAATCACCTGTTCTGTTTTTAATGTCAAATCATTTGACAGTGCTCACTTAAGACAAAGGTGAAATAAACACACTTAATTTAAGGAATTTTGTCTTAATCTCTCCCCTCTCTCCCTGGCCATCAAAATAGAGAGTAAGTTGGAGGCAGCGTTTGAAGAGCATGTTCTTCACAGGTGTTTTCCAACTAAGACTGCAAGCTACTGTCTAGAAGGGTCCTGGAGGTAGCCAGAAATGCTTTAAACCTTTTCTAATATGAAAGCCTTTTAAATCAAACACAGAGAAGAACTGATGTGGAGCCATATAGGTTCTTAATATTTAATTCTAGAGATAGATTTAAGCACAACACAACACCTTCCTTGCATACAAGTGCCTAGCTGGATCATCCTGAAGAAGTAATCATTCATTTCAAAGGTCCACACTGCTAAACTGTTAGGGAAAAAGAAGAAATTTCACACTAGACAAGATGCCAGGCCCCTTTGGAAGGACTCCAGGGGAGAGAAAAAAGATGGGCTCTTCCCCTTGGACAGATGGGCAGTTTTAGAAATATTTTCCTTGTTTGAGGTTGGCGTTTAGAAATCGGGCTTTGGACACCATCTCTTCAGCTCCTGCACCACGGCCTGAGAAGTTGGCAAATTTTACCGGGGAATCTCTGGTGAGAACCAGCACCAAAGAGTCAATGGAGAGTGTGAGAAGTCAGTGATCCTTGCATTTGACAAGGCATGATGCCGATCCAGCGATCTCTTGCAAGCAGCTAGTGCCATTTTGTGAGATAACTCAAAGGCTGTTTTGCAGTCTTTTTATTCCCTCCTAGGCTCAGGCAAGTCCGATAAGTTTCCTGGGAGACAGGTCCAGGACCTGTCAGAGGGAGTATCCAAAGGATTCCTTTGCCCTTGTAGCCCCCATCTCCTTACTAAATACAGTTGTCTTTCTATATCACAGGAGCTTACACTATGCCAACTGCAGCCTCAGGAGGCAAGAGGCGACTCTAGGGCCAGGAGCAAAAGAAAGAAATCAAGATATTCCCAATGGAGTCTGGAGACTCTTGCCCCAATCCAAGCCACAGGTTTCCCGCCTCCTCCCGGGAAGCACCCAAATCTCTTCCACCCTTCCTTGTCACTGGCCAGGGAGATTCCACCACCCAAAGGGCAAAGATCTGTTGAGCTGGGTCCTGCACCCCTGAGACAACTGCAAATCTAGCGTTCAGGGCTGCGCGTGGCTCGGCGGCTCCCGCCCCGCCCGGCTCTAGTCCTGTCTCATTCATTCCAACCGGTCGCCACCTTCCAGCCCGCCGCTTGCCAGGCAGTGTCTGCTCTCAAGAAGGCCAATCCCTTATTGTCTTTAAATCTCAAAAGTAATCTCCAGAGGGTTTCTCCTCACACTTTTTCACACCCCCGTGGTACTTCACCCCTTTAATTAAACCAATCCTCTGTCTCCCCCATCTTCAAAGCATTTAGCAGTTAGCTCCACGGAAGAAATCAGCCCCCTCCCTACATCCCACCTCCAGACAAGCCTTCGCTCTGCACGGAGGTCCAGAAACTGTGTCCCTTAGTCTCCATCGGGGATCCGGCAGTATCACCCCGCGCGCGGCTGCCGCTACCCCCCGCAGATACCCAGAAAAGCCCTCTCACCTGTCGGTGGATGCCATGGCGTGGGGAACGCCCCCTCCTCTCGGGCACCGTCCGGCGGTGGTGGCGAGAGGGGTGAGCCGGCAGAGCCGCGGGGAGCGGTATTTAACGGGCAGCCTCTCTCGGCCCTCGCACCCCCCTCCCGGGTAAGCCCTTTAGCGCCTCGGGGCACTCGGGAGGCTGCTGCGGGCGCTAATCCCGGACCCGGCTCTCCTCCGCACAGCCCGCGCTCCCCTCGCTGCTAGCGGCTAGCGCTCCGCAGGGCGCTGCGGGACCCGAGGGTGACTCCGCCGAGATCGCGCTGGCCGTGGGGCTGCAACACCACGCTCGCCGCGTCCCAGCCGCCACCTGTGTGTGCTCTGCCGCGGGCGAGGCAGACGGACGCCGCGAGTGGCGGGCACCGAGGGTGACTACGGAGGACTGGAGTGCGAGTGAGGGGGAGTGTGTGCGTGCGTGCGCGCGTGTGCTGGTGTGTGCGCGCCGGGGGAGGCGGTGGAGGCCGCTGCTCCTGGCTCCGCGCCGGCCAGGGAGGGATTGCAAGGTTTAGCCCCGCCGGAGGTGGGGATTTGCAGGCGATCCCTCTCTATTTTCGTCCAGAGCTGACATCACCCGCGCTACATCCTGGGGCGACTCCTTTAACCGCCACCTCCCGCCCCCCATCTCCAGACGCTGTCCCCCTTCTACCATCCCTCCCCCACCAGCCTCCAGCCATAAATTAGCCAAATAAGAAAAGAGACTCCGCCGGTAGTCCGGGAACGCTTTGGACAGCCGGTGGCAGAAGCCCAGGATCTAAGGAGTCGCTATTGTTTCCTCTCAAGCCCGCGTGGCCCCGGGTCACCTTGGGCTGCGCGAGGCGCGGAGACCCGGGATGCCCCGCCGTCCCCAATCCCTGGAGAAGCCTTGGCGCTCCCTGTCACTCCCCGGACACCTGCTCTGACTCACACTCACCCGCACAGGCGGGCACACTCACCCTCATCCTACCACGTCTGGGCTTCGGAGTCCCACCGACCCCGAGTGGCCGAACCACTCAGGTGGTGGGTTGAAACCGCGATCCAGCTGCGTCCTTTCTCGCCAAGGCCGGAATAAATCTCAGGTGTTCAATTATTCAGATAGATTAATATTAATGCAGTTCCCTGAGGGCGTTAGGCAGAGTGTGGGGGAGGAAGTAATTTGAGGGGAGGGCGTTTAAGCCAAATGGTCTGACTCAAGGGCTCAAGGGCACAGGCTAGGAAGGCGCAGAGAGAAGGTCCAGGCCAAGAGCTCCGCTCTCTAAGGGCCTAGGAGCCTAGAAGGCGAGGTGAGGAGGCACGCAGAAACAGATGGGCTAGTGTTTTGGAACTGTCCGAGTCAGCTTTGCATAATGGCAAGTCTGCAGTTTTATTGTCTCTGCTACTGGGACACAGCACACACCTACAGCTCCACCACCTCCTGATTCTATGGCTCCCTGGAAGGCAAAGCCTTCTTTTCCCCTGCTGGACAATGGGACTCAAAATAATCTCCTTTGCAGGGCCATGATGAGAATCAAACATGCCCTTTTAGAGATTTGCAAAGTGTCAAGTGTGAAAGGTGTGAGCTGGTCACTTGGGACCTGCCAGGCTCCTCTTAGCGGGATCTCAGAACTCACCTAGCTGGTCCATCAGTCCTAGTCCTAGTTGGTCCATCTCGAGGTCCTTCCAGGCTCCTAGCCCGGTGGCGCCCTTCCCACGTTGTCCCAAACCTAAGCTGAAAAGGAGGACCACTTAGAAACTCGAGGTGCAAGTCTCTGGGATTGGAGCCACGCAGGGCAGTTAAAAGCTAGATGAGATAACCTCGGACTTGAATTCTTTGCCATCTTGCAGTGAAATAATCTGGAGCAAATTCCTCAGCTTCACCTCTCTCATCTGCAGAATGGGGACATCACCTTCAGCCTCATAGTGCAAAGACAACTAAATGAAAGATATTCAAAATATGTTTCCTCAAGCTGGGTGTGGTAGTGCTGCCTCTAACTCCAGTGCTGAGGTAGGAGGATCTGGAGTTCCATGCTAGTCTGGGCTGCAGAGTAAAACCTTGTCTCTAAAACCTAAAGCAAAAAAAGTTCACTATTCTCCTTAGAATTAATCCGTGTTTGGGCTGGAGAGATGACTCAGTGGTTTAAAGCACTGATTGTTTGATTCCCAGCACCCAAAGGTGGTTAACCTTAACTCCAATTCCAGGGGATCTGATGCCTTCTTCTGACACAGATGTATTCACATACATGCAGGCAATACACTCATACACATAAAATTAAAATAATAATACAAAGATAATAAAAAATAATTAGTACTTGTTAATCCTTGGAAAAAATAGCCAAGGATGAATAGGCAGACGAGAGAAATAAGAGGAAAAGAAATGCATGGAGGAGGGAGCTGGCAGAGCTGCCCATTACATTGACTAGATCTGTGTTCTACTCAGTTCAAGACACCTCTTCATCCTTGGGCATTTATCTTTCAGTAACACTCCCTCCCCAAAAGAAAGTTATTGTGAATCTGGTACATGTATTTAAAAAATAATTTGTAGGTATAAAACTGGCTCCTTGAAACTTAGCATTGTGTTGGGCATTACCTTCTCAGAAGCCCTTAGACAGGGACTTGGTGACTTAGTGTTTTTGTATGGAGGTTGTCTTGCTTCCCTGCTGAGGTGCTAGCTGAAGAACAAACCCAGGCCTGGATATAAGAACCCCAGCACATTCCTCTGTCACCAGCATCCCTTTTAGCTTGAGTTTGAATGAATTACGGCCTACAGTCATCCCTCAGCATCCTTTCAGAGCCAGCCCAAGGCCTTAGCTGTAGGATTCACTAGCACTCTGCTCTCAGCAGGCTCCTGATGCCCCCTAAACCCAGGGCAAGTCAAAGGACAGGGAAAAGGAAGACGATAGAATTATTTCTATTTTTTAGCATTCTATTTTATGTGTATGAGTATATTGCCTGCATGTATGTAAGTACACCTGTGTCATGCACTCAGGGGTCAGAAGAGGGCGTCAGATCCCCTGGAACTAGAATTATGGATGGTTATCAGCCTCCATGTGGGTGATAGGAATTGAACCTGGGTCTTCTGTAAAACCAGTCAGTGCTCTTAACTGCTGAGCCATCTCTCCAGCCCTCCTTTTTTTTTTAAACATCTCATTGAAAACCATTCTTAATTATGTTTTGCATGCTGAGGTCCTTAGAGAACTCAGGTGAACAATCGCCAAATCTGTTAGATTAGACAGGTATAGGCGTCTCAGCTTGCCACCTTCCCAATAAATGGCTGCATCTGGGTACCCTGACATGACCTTCTACAGTACAGCAACATTTGCCTGGGGAACTGGGTCTATTATATCATGTAGACTATGCCACAGATGATTCTGGTGAAGAAGAAACAGGCTCTCTTTCATTGCCTCAGAAGACCCCTGCTAGCTTTCACCATGATTTCCAACATTGGCTTCAAAATAAAATACACTGATACATACAGATTTTTTAAAAAACGCAATATTCAAGTCAGCTTCTTGAAATGTCTGTTCTGATGGTCCTGGAGACCTGATTTGTTTTTTTGTTTTGTTTTGTTTTTAAACTTCCCCAGGTAAGAACCTTCAGTCAGCATGCCACAGAATACTACACGTCCATGTTTCTACTGCATCATTTGCAATAGCCAAGATATGGAGGCAGCCTAGATGCCCATCAGCAGATGAATGGATAAAGAAAATATGGCATATACACACAATGGAATTTTACTGAGCCATAAAGAAGAATGAAATTATGTTATTTTCAGGAAAATAGATGGAACTGGAGATCATCATGTTAAACAAAATAAGACAGAAAGACAAATATTCCATATGAAGAATCTAGAATATCTATACATATATACAGTCATATATACACATATAGATGAATGAATGATGTAAAAAAGTAGAAGATGAGCTATTCATTAAGAGACCCGAGGAAAATGGAAGGGGAGGAGGAGAAGGTAATGCTGTGTGAATTTAGTCAAAGTCTGTTATATACTTGCAAAAAATGTCATAATGAAACCTATTTGTTTAAATCTTTTTTTTTAAATGTGTATGAGTGTTTTGCCTACATGTATGTAAGTGCACCTGTAGTCGCCAGCTGTGGCTGCTCTCCTCTGGCTATGGCCACTCTCCTGCTCTCTTAGGTCCTCTGATCAGTAGTCCGGTCTGGACCCCAGGGCTGGTGAGCCAGCGTCACCGCATTCAGGCACAGGAGACCAGGCTCGGTGACACAGATCTGCTTTATTGCAAGAAAGTACAGGCTTATATAAGGATAATAGTCCAATCACAACACAGCATATGGGATCCCTAGCATGGCAGACTAGTATCCTATTACAATCTAGCGGGCCAGATGCCCGATTATCATGATAAGTTTCAGTTTCTAAACAGGAAGCAATGTATTCCAGCATGATAGGTAATGCATTCCAGCATGATAAGGCAAAATCAGTCACAAGATTTTCCACAACAAACCCCTATTTTTCACCCTGCACAAAAGTCAATTCCAAATGGCTCAAAGAACAGGCAAAATCAGTCACAAGATTTTCCACAACATGCACCCCTGTCATGCAATGCCCACGGAGGCCAGAAGAGGGCATCAGATCCTCTAGGACTAGAGTTATAGATAGTTGTTAGCCACCATGTAGGTCCTGAGATTCCCAGGTCCTGAGCCATCTCTCCATCCCTGAAACATATCACTTTGTATAATGAATATACACTGATAAGAATTTCAGATCTTCCACAGGTGATTGATTTTATTCGATAGCTAGGGTCAGAAAAGTTCAATAAGATAGAGAAGGGTCCAGAAATGGGACCCTGAAAAATAGTTGGAGTAAACTGGCATTTAGCCTTTGGAAAGACAAGAAGATGCAGGGCTAACCTGCTTGTCTTCAACTATAGGGAATAACAAAACTTTCCAAGCTGACATTGTTTGTGACTCTAGACAACTAATGTGAAGAGCCACAGGATCATGGTGCTTTTTTCTTATGCTGTACACTCAGGGAACAGGGAAGGCAGGAAGCTCTGTTCAGCAGTGTATCACACTGGAGGAGACTCAGCTCTAGGTTAGAATGACTGAGTTAAGTATTCCCCTGTTGAGCATTACACTCTGAGTCATATTAGTTGCAGCACTTGAGAGTCTTAGCTCCTCTTTGCAAACTGGAGGAACTGACTGTATTCATAACTTTTCTCATAGCAATGATGAAAACATCCGATAGAAACAAGTTAGAGGAGGGAAGATTTATTTCAGCTCCTGGTCTCAGAGAGTTGCAGTGCATCATAACAGGAAAAACCTGGGGAGTGACTCTGGACGTGTGGAGGAAACAACGTGTGATGGGGACTCTTCACAGAAGGCAGGGCAGGAAACTAGACCAGAACCAAGATGTACATAACCTTCTCAGTGATCCACTTCTGCCATGTTTATTCCCAGGACCCTTCCAATGGGTTGCTACAGCCACAAGGTCTGAAGTTAGTGCCATAAGCTAGGGGTTTTGCATTTAAAACATGAGCCTGTGAGAGACATTTTAGATTCAAACCATAACAGTAACAATGGCCACCTCAGGTTGTCAGGAAGATTAAATGGGATAAAATGTAGGAAATACTCAGTTCTGACTCTCACATCATGAGTTAT